TGTTGCAATGTCAAAAGGTTGGACACACCTGCTAAAGAGTTTGAGGTTTTGGTTGGGGAAGGGTGTTGGGCATCAGTTCTAAATACTCCTCAGGTGATTGTAGTTGTGTGGCAGGATAAGAACTGTTGAAATAGTAGTGATTATTTCACAATGTATGCATAGTTGAAGAAAAGAGGAACTACTAGGATGACAGGTATGCACCATCACGCCTGACTTGAGTAACTTTTGTAGCAGAAATTACTAGACAACAGAATTGTGAAGTACCCCCTTAAAAACAAAACAAAACAAAAACCAACAAGGTCTTATTTACTGTGTAGCCCTGGCTGTTCTGGAACTCATTATGTAGACCAGTTTGGCCTCTAAGGAAGTCTTGGATTGAGTGAAGTCTTCACCAGTCCTGTGCTTGATTAATGAATTAAATATAAGAAGCTCTATTCACTCTTGTATTATAAGATAGTCTTTATAAGATGTGTGTATAATGGCGTCTAAATGACTTTAGTGTAGCTATGATTAATAAGCCTCATTTGTAGATAACTATAATAAACATAGGAAATAGATGTACTTTATGCTTAGAGCATAAGTGGCACAATTTTCAGATTAACCTTTGCTCTTTGGTGTCGTGTTCCCCCCCACACTTTTTTTTTTTAATGGAGTGGAGGGCCAATATATACTAAGTATATGTTCTACCCCTGAGCTGCTCCTCCAACCAGAACTTTTGATCTGTGTGTGGCCATATAGCCCAGGCTGGTCTTTAACTCCAGATCCTCTTGCCCTGACCTCTCAAATGCTTATATGAAAGGCTTTTGCTACTTACCATGTGTAGCGTGAGCTTTTTTTTCTCCTCCCTCCCTCCCTCCCTCCATCTCCCTCTCCCCACCTCCCTCCCTCCCTCCCCTCCCTCCCTCCCTCCCTTCCTTCCTTCCTTCCTTCCTTCCTTCCTCAGGGTTTCTCTGTGTAGCTAGCCTGTAACTCATAGACATCCACCTACCTTTCCCTTCTGAGTGCTGAGATTAGAGGTGTGTGCCACCATCTGGCAAACCAGTGAACATTTTATGCACTTTCTTTGATTAAATGTTAGTGTAATATTTTGAGTAAATAAATTTTCTTGTATATTTTAATGTCTAAAATATTGTGAGCCTGTACAGTAACTTTGATCTTTTTGTTGATGGACATTGTTTATTTATTATAAACACTTTAAAAGGTCTCCTTATGCATTTTATCCTCCATTATTAGTGAATAATTTTATTGATCATCAGTTTGATGTTGTCATTCCATAGTGATTGAACCCATAGGAGATTTAACCCAGGACCTTGAGGATACTAGACAAATACTCTACTGGTGAGCTATAGTCCCACCCCAAACATAATGAACAAAACTGAATATTTTTTCAAGAAATTTGTAACCAACAGTGGACCTTACCATATTATATTCTAATAGTCAGTTTCCTTTTGTCTCCACTAGATCAGAAGCAACTAGATTTGTTAGTAAAGCCATTAATGAGTTGTGTATCTTGAAGAAATATTAATAGTTCTAGTAGAAAAATTTTCCAATTACTATAAGTAATGTTAAGAGCTTTGTTCTATGTTCTGTTTTCACATTTAAAAACGAAGTACTTAGTTTTTAAATATATTGTATTTGTATATTGTAGGTGTTGGTATAGTTTCTAATGAGCTATGTTTTGGTAACTATTCAAATTATCACATTGGTTTCTTTCTTTTTTTTAATCATTGCCTTACATGTTGTTGAACCTGGAACCCTCCCTGCATATGACAAACATTTATTCAGTGATTAGCTGTATGCCCAGCCCTTCCCATCTTTATCTTGTTGGCCCTTTCTACCTTGCCACGGCTTATCAGGAATGTCTTTCTGGCCTTTGGAGACCATATTTTTTGGTTCACTGTACTTTTCATTACCAATTTTCTTCACCATCCTTTTCCTCTTTCTTCCTTTTTTTAGATATTGTAAACTTTGGTTTCTTTCAATTTTATGCTTTTTTATCCAATGTTTTGATTATCTCTATACTGAAGACTCCCAACAAACCTTTCTAAGTTTTAAACTCAAGGAATTAAAAAGCAAATGTAATTTCCTGAGGTTTCCACAGGTCTTTAATAGAGCTGGCCTTTATTTTGCTTTATTCTTTTTGCTTTCATGTTGCTCTAGACTGCTTCTCAGAACAGACCCAGGTCTACTGACTTTTCTGTCTGGGTATATTCCAGACTTAGCTGGCTTTCCTCTTGTAATAATGATCTGCTCTTTGTTTCCAGTTTGTACTCTCCTCTGCACTGTTTCAGAGTTAAGAGTTTTGCACTTGGTGCCTTGTTTCTAATTGGCCTAGAGTTTGTCTGAGTTGTAGCTGATTGTGTCCCTCCTTCTTGGGTGGCAGAGTAGAGTACCTATAACTTGATTTTCACAGTTGTAGGCTTACCATTCCCCTCCACACACCTTGTTTTTTTTTGGCTGTAGTGGCATATGGTAAATAACTTCACACTTTGAAATAAAATGTCTGGCAGTGGTGGCGTACAGCTTTAACCCCAGCACTCAGGAGACAGAGGCAGGCAGGCAGATCTCTGTGAGTTCGAGGCCAGCCTGTTTTACAGAGCTAGTTCCAGTACAGGCTCCAAAGCTACAACAAAGAACCCTGTCTCAAAAAAAAAAAAAAAAAATCATAAATAAACAACAATAAAAATTTTAATGTAATCCCTCTTTGCATCCAGAAGCCTTCTTTGTTTCTTCTAACATGAGCCAAAGCAACCATTTTTGTGCCTCCATTGGGATTGTTATATTGAACATGTAATATTGAAGAGTGTTCATTTCTCTTTTATTTAATTAATTTGTTTTATTGCTACTGTTTTTGTCTTAATTTTTTTTTTTTTTTGGTCAATGTGACACAAGCTAGGGTTTTCTGAAGATGCAAATTCAGTTGAGAAATGCTTCCATTAGATTGGCCTGTGGGCAAACCTGTAGGGAATTTTCTTGATTAATGGTTGGTGTGGAGGTCCTAGCAAACTGGGTGATGTTATCCTGGGAAGGTGGTCCTGAGTTGTGTGTGTGTGTGTGTGTGTGTGTGTGTGTGTGTGTGTGTGTGTGTGTATGTATGTATGTGTATATACATATACATATGTGTATATGTATATACACATACATACATACAGAGTAACCCATAGGGGCAAGTTAGTAAGTTGAGCTCCTCCATTATCTCTGCCTCAGTTCCTACCTCCAAATTCTAGCCTCGAGTTCCTGTCCTGGCCTCCCTTGATGATGCAGTATAAGCCAGATGAACCCCCTTCTTCTCCAGGTTCCTTTTGATCATGGTATTTTATCATAGTAATAGAAACCAAACAAAGATAGTGCCCACTGAGCCATCTCACCAGCCCTGTTGTCTTTTTAGACAGGTTGTTGTATAAAGTGAAAGATGCATAATTTAAAAAATTCTTTTCTTTGATATTTGTGTTTGTGTGTTGCAGGGAGGGAGGGAGGGAGGGAAAGAGGGAAATATGTTTAACATACCCCTACTTGTGTTTAGGGGTGCTTACCTCTGTGTGTGTGCAAAAGCCAGAGGAGAGTGTCACATGCCCTTTTCTATCACTTCTGCCTTATTCTCTTATGATAGGGTCTCACTGAACCTGGACCTCAACATTTTTTTCTGGCCAGAAAGTCCCAGGAATTCTTTTTTTCTGTCCACCCCAGTACTGACTGGAGTGTTACAAAAATATTTATTGTATGGGTGCTGAGATCAGAGCTTCCTCTCAATTGTATAACAATGCTCTTAAGTCTCCAGCCTGGTTCTGAATATATATTCATTATATACTTATTAATATATATTCTAATTATGAATGTACATATTATGTGTGTGGGGGTTTTTGCATATGAGTTCAAGAAGACCAAAAGCATTGTCTCCCCCTGGAGCCAGAATTATAGATAACATTGTGAGTCACTTGACAGGCAAGAAATCTAAACTTGGAGACTGTTCTTTACAAGGTAGATATGTACTCATGGTACAGTAATGTGCTTTTGTTACAGTAGAAATGCATATGCTAATGGTGATTGATGCCAGAATCTAATGCCATTTAGCTTACCTGACTGATTCATATGCTTTTTTTTTTTTTTTTTTTTTTTTTTTTTTTGCTTTCCCTGGCCTGAAATTTGTGTGCATATGTTAAGGTTTTGCCTTTTTATTTAAAGTAAAAATTTAAGTATATGGGTGTTTTGCCCATGTTTATTTTTCTGTGCCAAATTTGTGCAGTACCTGAGAAGGCCAGAGGTGTTAGATCCTCTGGTATAGGAGTCACAGATGTCTGTGAGACACAGTATGGGTGCTGGGAGTAGAACTATATTCTTCTTAAAGAACATCAAGTACTGTTAATTGTTGAGCCATCTCTCCAGCCCCAAGGTTTTTATTTTTTGTTTGTTTTTCGAAACAGGGTTTCTCTATATACCCCTGCTGTCCTGGAACTTGTGTAGATCAGGCTATATTTGAACTCGAGAGATTTGCCTGTCTCTGTCCTGGGATTAAAGGCATATTCCACTACCACCAGGCCAGCACCAGGTTTTGAAAATACTGGATCAGTATTTCTTATTTTACAGATTAGGTTTGAGAATGTTGGAATTATGACTAAAATGTCATAATTGGGTTCCTTTACTTCACTGAAAGAATTATTTGCTAGTGTTTCTTATTTTATACTTATTAATTTATTGCTTTTTAAGACAGGGTTTCTCTGTAGCTCTAGCTGTTTTAAAACTCACTGTGTAGATCAGGCTGGCTTCAAACTCAGAGAGAGATTCCTTTACCTCTGGCGTTAAAAGCATGTGCTACCTCATTCTTTTTTAAAAAGACATGGCCTTGAATTTGCCATGTAGCCCAAGTTGGCTTCAGACTCCATTCTTCTGTTAGCCTCCAAATACTGGAATTAGAAGTGCATGTCCTCATCTGTCTGTGAGGAGTTGTGCTTTGAAAGTCTTTTCCTTTGTTTTCTTACTCATCTTCTGTTTCTGGATTGTAGTTACAGATGTAGAACTGAAACGACTCAAAGATGCCTTCAAGAGGACCTGTGGACTCTCTTATTACATGAGTCAGCACTGCTTCATCAGGGAAGTGCTTGGGGATGGAGTGCCGCCTAAAGTTGCTGAGGTAATCTTTATGGTGCTGGGTTCCTCTCATAGTTGTCTACCATGTCAGATTTCTACTTCAAAGTTGTTTTTTGTTTTATTTTTCAAACTGTTTTATTCTTTTTTTATTATTAAATGTTTTGTTTTGAGACAGGGTCTGTAGCTCAGACTGGCTTTCTTTCAACTCACTGTGTAGTGGAGACTTGTCTTAAACTCCTGAAAGCTGGGTTTACAGGCTTAAAATCCTCCGTGTTCTTGTCTTTTTTGTTTGTTTGTTTAATTTTAAAAGATTTCATCTTCACAGTTATTTTTCTTGCTAAATAAGCAGCAGGTTCTAGTTTTGATGTATTCTAAAAGGGTGAATGGGAATGCTGAAGAGCCATAGATTTGTATTTTTGGTGCTTTTGCAACTGATATATAATTATGAATTGTTTATATGATTTTATCCTTATTTTAAATATCTCTGACATTAATTTTATGTTGTATAGTTTTATAAATTTGTATTGAATGGATTTGAGTCAGTAAAATTAAATATCGTAAATGAAATAAGAGCTTATTGGAAATTATGTAAATTCTTACTTAAATTGTACCAAAATGTTTAAATATGCTAAGCTTGTAATCATTCTCTTTGTAAAAGTAATATTTATTATTTTTAGTAGCATACACAGATGTATTAGTATTCCAAGTGTCACTAAGTAATATTTATAAAACAATAAAAGGTATAATAGGAATTTTAAGCTTGATATGACATAAGGAACCTTAATTCTCTGCTTTATTTTTTTTTATTTTTATAAATTTTTTAGATAGTTTTATATTTATGAGCATTTTGCCTGAGTGTGTGTATATGTACCACCTATGTGCCTAGTGCCTGTGGAAGCCAGAAGAGTGTGTTGGATTCCCTAGAACTGGAGGTTATAGATGGCTGTAGCTGGGAGTTGAATTCAGGTCCTATGTAAGAGCAGCAAGTGTTCTTAATTATTGAGCCATCTTTCTAGCTTCTTTGCTTTAAAATTTTTTAAAAATAAACTTTACTATAAAAAAAGCCCAGGACAGCCAGGAATACACAGAGAAACCCTGGGGTGAGGATGGGAGGATTTTTTTTTTGGGTGTTAGTGTTACATGCACTTAATTCCAGTAATTGAGAGGCAGAGTTCAAGGCAAGCTAGGTCTACAGAGGTAGTTCTAGGACAGCCAGAGCTACACAAAGAAACCCAGTCTCAAAAAACCAAACAACAACAAACAAACAAAAAATAGAAAATAAAAAATATGCTTTTAAATACTTACATTTCTAAATTATGCTGCATATTTTTGTCATTTATAAAATAGATTTTACATAAGTTTATCTTATAGTAATCTGGTTTATAACCCTGTAGTCACAATTTACTTGTTTTCCTTTTTGTTAACTATTTTCCATAGCTATAGAGCCCAATGGGCACAGTTCTGAAAACAGGTGACTAAAATTGTAGCAAAGAGCCTGGTATGGTAGTGTTCATAGTTGTCTTAGTTAGGGTTACTGTTGCTATGAAGAAATACCATTACCAAAAAGCAATTTGGGAAGGAAAGGATTTATGTGACTTCTATATCACAATTCATCATGAAATGAAGGCAGGACAGAAACTCAAGCAGGTCAGGAATCTGGAAGTAAGAGCTGATGCAGAGGTCATGGAGGAGTGTTTCTTGCTGGCTCATTTTATTCATCGTGGCCTGCTCAGCCTGCTTTCTTACAACCCAGGACCACCAGCCCAGAGATGGCACCCACCACCCACAATGGCTGTGTCCTTCCACATCAATCACTAATAAAGAAAATGCCCTACTGGCTTACCTGCAGCCTGAGATCTTTTTTGTTTTGTTTTTGTTTTTCCAGACAGGGTTTCTCTGTATTGCATTGGAGCCTGTCCTGGAACTAGCTCTGTACAACCTGAGATCTTTTGGAAACATTTTATCAATTAAAGTTCTCTCCTCTCAGATAACTGGCTTGTGTCAGGGTGCCATAAAGATTAGCCAGTACAGCCTTTAATCCCAACACTTGGAGGGCAGAGGCAGGCAGATTTTAATGAGTTCTACACCATCCTGGACTACATAGCAAGTTCTAGGCCAACCAAAAAAACAAAACAAAACAAAACAAAAAAAGAAACACACACACACACACACACACACACACACACACACACACACACACACACACCAAAAAAAAAAAAAAAAAAAAAGATTTATAGAGCCAAAGAGGCAGCTCATTGGCTAAGAGCAATTACTGCCTTTCCAGGGAATCCAGGTTTGATTTCTAATACCAACATGAGGGTTCTTAATTTTCTGAAACTCATCTCAGCAATCCAAGATGAAGGCACTCTCTGACCTCCATGGTACCTTAGTGTACAGAATATATGCAGACAAAACACCTATGTACATAAAAATAAATAAATAAAAATTTTAAAGTTTTTGCAAAGTTGAAGCATAATTTCTTTTCTAGTTATTATCAACTGGAGCTATGAAAAAAGCCGTCTGGTTAAAGTTGTTAATAATTGGCTTTTACAAGGCATGGATGGTCATTAAAAGAGGAGTACCCCTAACCCCTGGCAGGTTTCTGTAGATGAAGTTTCTGTTCCTCCGGGGCTCCCAGCAGTTTGGTCCCAAATAAATACACAAAGACTTATATTAATTATAAACTGTTTGGCCAATGGCTCAGGCTTTTTACTGGCTGGCTCTCTTAATTATTAACCCATTTCTATTAATCTGAGTATTTCCATGTGATCTGTCTTACTAAAGAATGTCTAGACCTGTTTACTCCTATAGCAACTACATGGCGTCTCCCTATCTGGCTCTCTTTGTGTCCTCTCCACAGAATTCTCCTCCTCTGGTAGTCCTGCCTATATCTCCTGCCTGGCTACTGGCCAATCAGTGTTTTATTCATCAACCAGTAAGAGAAACATATATACATACAGAAGAACATCCCCGATCAGGTTTCAAATTAGGTGATTGAGAAATCTAAATTACTAGACTCATTTGGTGTTAGATATATTTATATTTTAAGATTTCCATATGGCCCTTTATAGCTTTTTATGATGAGACTTTCCATCTTTTTATTTCAAGAGTAATTTATTTCTTTTGGTGTTTTTTTTTTATAGACTCTTCAACATTCTTGTCAAATAGCTATAGTATCTGTGTCATCAGTTTCTTGGTACCTATTGGTTGTTATTTTCTAATTGGGTAAATATTTTCTTGGTTTTTTATGTCCAGGAATTTTGGATTACATTCTAGACATTTGGAATGTTCAGAGGTTCTGATTCTTGGAGATATAGCTTTGTACTTGTCATCTCTTGCTTGTTTTATAATGCCCCTTACCTTTTCAAAGTCTGTGCATCCCTATTTGGATTTATCCCACTGTGGCTAGTCTTAGACTCAATTTTTAGTTCAGACGGACTGGTGTGTATTTTAGGGTTAGGCAGACTTAGGAGTTAAAAAAAAAATTTCCTGCTCCTTTCTCCCCTTAGCATTCATATTAATTTCCTTTTCTCTGAGCTCCATTATCCAGTCCTGTCAGAGAGTTGGAGATTTACCTAGCCGGCTGTGCCACTTAGTGAATTGTCTGTATCCAAGGAGCTGATATAGGTGATATAGGGGGACGGAGAAAGGAGGTGAGGAAGAAATGAAAGTTCTTCTCATTCTCTTGGGACTGTGGTATCTGTGATCAGAGTCTATGGTAAACTACAAAATATCTCCCAAAGATTTCCAAATCCTAGTACCTGGAAGTTGCATGTAGCATGTATCAGGAATTCTGGGAGTCTTGGTTGTTGGAGAGTTTATCACTTCTTACCCTATGTGAAACTTTTTTTTTTAATTAGAGAAACCCTTCATGTATTCTTGGTCATTTGCTTAAATGTCAGTTTGAGATATTCTTGGATTGCTTTGAAAATTTATTGTGTGAAAAAATTATTCTAATGTTAATACTGAAGATAATTTATTATTTTTTGTGATGAGTGAAGCATTATAGTTGCCCTTGTGATTTAATCAAATAAAACTCTGTTGATAACAATGTTTTATATATACTGTTAAAGATTTTTATCAAATCTTGATTTTCCTTGGTCTCATATTTACATAATAGCTAGTGATACAGTGTGTAGGTCAGTACAAGGTACTGAAGATTCTAAGTTAGACTATGAGCTGGTATGAATTTACAAAGAACTTGGCCTGAACTTGCCTGTCTTTTTACTTTAGTGCACTGTAGTTTGCTTGATACTTGTTCAAATGGGACAGTTTTTTTTATATGGTAAGCAAGAGCTTACTATAAATTTTGCCTTTAAGAAAATAGGGGGCTGGAGAGATGGCTCAGTAGTGAAGAGCACTAACTGGCTGCTTTTCCAGAGGTCCTGAGTTCAGTTCCCAGCAACCACATGGTGGCTCACAACCATCTGTAATGAGGTCTGGTGCCTTCTTCTGGTCTGCAGGCATACATGCAGGCAGAACACTGTATACATAGTAAATAAATAAATAAATAAATATTTGAAAACAACAACAACAAAAACCACTGAAGGTGTGGCTTAGTAATATTAAAGCAGCTTGCCCTATGGGCAAAATCTCCCAGTTTCCCATTCTGGCACTGAGAGAGAAGGTAGGGAACAGTACACTATTAGGTTAGGTGTTTTTCTGTCTCAGGGGCTTGTGAAAACTTAAAGGTAGTACCCTAATTTTCCTTCAGAACTGGGAGAATTATTCACAGGAGGAGAAAGATAGTGTGTACCTATGGGGATTTGGTTTGTTTGGTGGTGGCAGTTGGCTAGTTTTTGTTTGAAACAGGGCCTCTAACTTATTATATATATAGCAAGAGCTGACCTTGAACTACCACTGGTCCTTTATTTTTGGAGTGCTGAGATTCAGACATGCACTACCATGCCTAATTTTTAAAAGTATTTTAGTACTACTACTATTTTCATTTTATGTGTGTGTGCACATGTCCTCAAATAGTGGCAGCAACAGTATGGCAGTGGCAGTAATTGTACCTAGGGCCTTGTGTACATTAGGTAAGTG